TCACTAAGTCAGGCAGCTCAGCTCCTGCTCCACTGTGGCGTGCTGGGCTCTTGGTTCCACTGGGCAGCCTCGCTGCAGCGGACCAGGCTCGTGGCCCCGTCCAACTGTGGGGAACCCAGCTGCAAGCCTTCCACCAGGACTCTCTGATCCTGGAACATATGTGATCCTGCCAGACCATGGATGTTGCTGGACCAGGGAGACCCAGTTAACAGAGGTTCAGCCTGCAGGGGTGACACATGACAGAACGAGGAGCAACGGTCTCAAGTTGCAGTGGGGGAGGTCTAGGCTGGATGTGAAATAAAACTATTTCACAAGGAGGGTAAGTGGCACTGCGGAGACAGTGCTGGGGGGAATCAGCTTTTAAGCCAGCTCCTCACAGCACCGGCTCCCGTCCCGACCACTTGCTGCCTCTGATACAGAGGCAGCAAGGGGGCAGGGAAGTGAGTAGTCAAGTAGTTGACTCGACTGCCCAATAAGCTTAGGCTTATAGGGTGTCGACTACTTGCTTACATCCCTAGATGGAAGCACGCTCTCCCTTCAGCTTCCCTTACTCCTCATAGGAGCAGTACTACCGGTATCGACAGGAGTGCCCTCTCAGTTCAAATTAGCACGTCTTCGCTAATTTGAACCCTGTAAGATTGACTGCGGCAGCTTCGATCTTCTCTGTGGTGTAGATATGGCCTAAATGCCCCCCGCTGGTATAAATGAGTGTAGCTACATTCACTTTGATTTACACTAGCCGAGGAGTTGGCGCTGAAGTTTTATATGTGAAACCTAAATTAAAAACTTGGGAGCAAAAGGAAGTTTGATGTCATTAAGGGACTACAAGCTGAACCTCTTCTAAACTTACACTGTCTGGTCCAGCAACATCTATGGTCCAGCAGGACCATGGATGTTCCAGGACCAGAGAGTACCAGTGGAGGGCTGGTGGCTGGGAGCCCAGTAGGACGGCAGGGCAGTGGGCTGCTGGAAGCAAGTCACCAGCGGAGTCAGGATCTAAGAGCATAGCCACGGATGGACTGCCCGGCAGGGCTGGGAGTCCACCATGCTGCAATAGGGCTGCCCAGCTGGCCAGGAAGCCCTGTAGAGCCAGGCTGTGGGGCTGGCAACTTTGCACTGATCTGACTAGTGAGCCATAAGCAACTAACATGTCAGCTGCAAGCAGCAAACCTGTAGACACTAAAAATAATTGTCATGCTAGTCAGAGTTCCCTGTAAGCTGATTGGCAGAGCACCTGCAGCTGCCCATGTGTTTCTCTTGATGGTGCACATCTTCATATGCCTCACTGCACATAACACAATTTATTCCGCACACACATGGAAACAATTAGAGGGGATATTGGTGCTAGCCTTCGTCAATGCAGACCTCTCCTCAGCTTCACTAGTGTGACGCAGTATTCCGTATGCATTATGAAGACATGGTTATGATATGGATGATATGATATGAATGTTTCATAGGTAATACATTTTTTCTAGTTTATTATTTAATCCAGTTTATGTAATTTCTAACGGGAGTGGAAGGTGAGAGGCTGCGCCTACCTTCCTTCACGTTGAGAAAGGAGATGAACATTCTCTAACTTTGGATTTGTACTTCAAGCGGGTTGGATATCTGGGTTCTGGGGCAAATCCCCTTTGATGAGACTTCCCAGATGTGATCTCAGTGTCTGTATTTCTGCAGGTGGTGGTGGGCCTGCCTAGGAGCTTTTCTGGCGGAGGCTTTAGTGCCTGGCTTAGCAAGACAGAGTTTAAGAGGGGCCCAGGCTGGCAGAATAGGTTGACTCAGTGGTATCCCAGCACCTCATTTGGCACCACAAGGGCCCCAACCTTTCCCAGCTAGGTTTACAGACATCTGACACCAAGTCTCAAAAGATAAATTCGTGTTCTTAGAATCATAGAGTTGGGAAAGTCCTCAGGAGGTCAGAGAGTCCAACCCCCTGCCCAAAGCAGGACCAATCCCAACTAAATCATCCCAGCCAGGGCTTTGTCAAGCCATGACATGAAAACTTCTAGGGATGGAGATTTCACCACCTCTCTGGGTAATCCATCCTACTGCTTCACCACCCTCCTAGGGAAATAGTTCTTCCTAATATCCAACCTAGACCTCCCCCACTGCAACTTGAGACCATTTCTCCTCGTTCTGCCATCTGTCACCATTGAGAACAGCCTCTCTCCATCCCCTTTGGAAACCTTCTTCAGGGAGTTGAAGGCTGCTATCAAATCCCCCTTCACTTTTCTCTTCTGCAGACTTAATAAGCCCAAATCCCTCAGCCTGTCCTTCTAAATCATGTGCTCCAGCCCCCTCATCATTGTTGTTGTTCTCTTCCTCCATACGACTCAGCTTCTGCCTAGCAGATTAATGAAGCTGTAGTTAGTTGAAGGCCATGATCACTGTTAATTGACCCTAATCTGAGGATCATAGGTTTGACTATTAACCAGAGATGGGCTCATGCTGCAGAGCTCTGAGATCCACTTTTCAACCTGCCTGAAGTCTGGTTGGGAGGGCTTGGAGCAGGCCCAGCCTTAGTGCCATAGAATTTATAAAGATTAAGAAAACCTGATTTGATCAACTTCACTCTTGTGTTTGCAGCCATGGGGGCATATAACCATTCAGCCCAGAAGTCAGAGTTGTCTTCAGCTGTCCAGCCAATTCTGCTGCAGGCTGTGGAAGGACAGACCCCATTTCAGGTGGGAGCATAGGGACAGGTTTTGCTCTGGTATAAGCAGGACGCCACCCTGCAAGAAGCTGGGCACTCTCAATTCTTCTTTGAAGTGGGTGAGACTCAAGCATGCCCCCACCGTCTCCCAGAGGGTGTTCAGCTGAGTAATTCCACTGAGTCAGGGGGGTTACTCCGGGCTCACACTGACAGCACCCACACTAGTGCTTTTATGTTGCCTACAAGAAACCAGAGGGCAGGCTAGTGGTATCTTGAGGCCCATGCCTGTCATGCTGACCAGTACGGTATCATTTTCCCTTGTACCCCCTTGTTGGTCTGTTTGTATCCATCTGTTGTTTTAGACTTAAAATTGTAAGCTCCTTGGGGCAGGAGCTGTCTCCTTCCATGACTGTGGCTTCTCAGTGTTATGATAATACAAATAATAATAACAACACTAAAATTGCTATTATAGACAACTGATCATTACATATCTCAAAATGGGCCTCAGAAACGGTCTTTTTATTTTTTTTCTGTTGCTAGGTGCTTTACTTTCCTGGTGGTTTCAGTGGAACCAGCCAGGCAATCGCCCAAATGCAGAGTGCTTTGCTTGATCTTCTCTGTTTATCTTCAGTCCAACACATATCCACATTTTTAGCATTCTGAGGTTTGGTGCGCTTGTTGCACATTCCGACCTTGTAACATTATTGCTAGGGTCAGTGGGATCCAGGTGTGTAGCCGACAGACCCTGGCCGTCGGCAAGTGGAATGGAACCTGGGACCTTAGGAGCTAAAGCAGTGATATTTTTTTTAAAAGGAGAGGGGTTTTTTTTTTTTTGTGTACAGTAGACGATGTAAAAGCTGTGTAAGCCAGAGGCACTGAGACCCCAGAGAAGAGAAAGCAAAGTCCGCTCCACCTCCTTAGCTAAGGAGCCAGCTGGCTTTTAGCTCATGTCTCAAACTCCCAGCCCATAGGTCAGCCTCAACTGGAGTGATTGCACAATCTGGCCTGGAACTCCCATCTGTTATAGGCTCCTAACCCCCACCCCTTCTTGCCATTGGCCTCCCCCCTCAGAACCTCATTCCCAAGGATGTGGCTTCAAGGATCATGAGTGGAAGGGGGGGGGCAAGGTCTGGTGTAGTGCAATGACAGTGCTCGTGCCTCCACCTCACACTCCCTGTGATGTCAGGAGCTGCAGAGAAGTGGAATGCACTGAACGAGTGCACTCGCTCACTCGGCTCCTGCCGCCACACAATTCCCAAAGCTGCATCCTTGGGGATGGGGTCCCATGGGGGGGCAAAGACCAGAAGGGGCAGGGCTTGGGAGCCAGTAATGGATTGGCTGCCTCTGGTCCACTGGGAGTCCTGGGCCGGATTGCACAATGGCTGCGGTCGGGGATGGCCCACGAGCCAGGAGTTTGAGATCACTGGGCTAACACCATGAGCCTCTGCCACATGAGCTAGAAGTCAACTGGCTCTTTGCTAAGGCTGTAGAGCAGACTTCAATCTACCTTCTTCGTGAGCTAAGTGCCTCTGGGTTACACAGGTTTTACATTCTCCACTGTACATTTTTAAAAAACCCAACCCTCTCCTTTTTTTTTTTTAAAGGCGCTGTTTGTCTACAAGGCTGTATTATCAAAATCATTTAAAATTAATTCATAGGGACCTGTTGTAACTGAAATTTAAGTGGCATTAAAGTTGTACTTGCTGGGGGTGGGGGACAGTTAACTGGCTTAATAACCTTTTAAAGATAACCTATTCATGCTGGGAGCTTTGAAATGATCTTGCAGATGTCCCAGAGCTATATGGATATGGTTGCTGCTTTTGTTGCTATGATTGCAGACTGCTGTATTGGTAGCTTGACAAAAGAAGGAATTGTACATCATCTGCAATCATGAATTCCTGGACAAAGTATAGGGCTTGGATTATTTTTCTCTTATTGATTTAACTTAGAACTAATTGTTTTAAGAGGTCTGCATTAATGTCTTTTTGTTCCTACTGAGTGACAAGTGATTACAATTCCTGTGTTGTTTACTCTGGGCAGTGATTATTTGCTCTACTTGCATGCTGTGTTGATCAATTCTTAGAGATACAACAGGCTAAAAGCATACAGAAGTCATGGCATCTTTGACTACAGAAACAAGAGCCTTAGATACCAGTCATTACTGTAGCTGCAGTGCTAAGAGTACAGGTAGTGTTAAAACATCAAACATTTTACTTCACATGTTTTATAATTTGCTTATCTTTTATTGTTTTTGTTTTGGATTTTTTTTTATTTTATTTTTTTGCACTGAGATTTAATCAGTGATCTTGGAATTCAGTAATTGCTTCATTTTTATTCATTCCTACAGTATAGGAAACAGGTTAATCTGTCCAGGAAAGAAAGCAAAGTCAATGTGAAATATTGAATGAAGATAGTGGACAATTACTGCCAACTTATTCCCATTCTGAATTGTACAGCCTACACTGGTAAGTTAAATTTAATTCTCTAACTCATATATTCTCATGCTAGGTGTTGGTGAATTAAATCACTTAATAAATGTGTGTTTTATAGTTATCTGTTTATGTATGGTTTTTTATCAAATCTTGCAAAGTTAACACTTCCAGATCTATGCTGTATTTATGTGGTGTACCGATGTATACAGTATGTTCATATGTGTATAATCATCGTACACCTTTATGTAATTCAGGGATTTGTTTCCTGTTTGCAATGTGATTTTAGAAACGGTGCATGAATATTTGAACAGTTGTTTCCCCAAGATGAAATAAGACGCTTTCCAGGATAGGTTATCTAAATGGATTTTATCTGAACTCTCCACTTTTAAGCACATTCCTATTAGATAAGGTTACGTTAATAGTGCCTGGGGGTGTGATCAGAAACCTGATTGCATGTATTAGATGGCATTGTGCCCGGCATGAAACATACGTTGGGACACTTTCCTTTTTTAATTGCAACATGCTATTCGAGAGTGATAATAAATAGCAGAGTCTGCATGCGATGGCTATTACTAGCATAAAATGTCTGCAGCAGACTGCCCGGTGATTCAGATATTTATTATCGGAACCATTTTTGTTGTGATTTTTAATTCTTAGAAAAGTGGGCTACCAATGGTATTGGTTATGCTCAGTTAGGATGTGAGCAGCTGCTTTGCATACTCCCCTGCAGAGCTCTACCTATGCCTCCAGACCTGCAGCACATTTATCATCGTAGCACTCGATTGACTATGACAGGTGATAGCCAGCTAGGTCAGCTATTGTGTTGGCTATTGTGATGTGCCCAGAGATCTATTCAGAACAACTCGGAAATCACCTACACTCATTTAATTTGTGACCTAAGTGAGAGAGGGGCTGAGTTTTCCGGAGCTGACAGTCTTAAAGGTATCGACCCCTGTGTTCCACCTAGCACCTAAAGAGTCAGCTGCTACCAGTTTAACTCTAGCAATCCTCCGTCCTTCATTGCAGCACATCTTCAGTTGTCCCCGTGTTAAAACATGAAGATGCATCTAACGTGCAACTTCAGTGACAATCGTGCATGTTTTGCCGTATCATCTGATGCAGCTATGAAAGCTAACCTGGGTTTCTGATCAAAGGAGCATAAAATGCTCTTACAAAATTATTATAAAACGGTTACCGGCCAGTTTTAATCTCCTTGTATTTGGATCCGCTTTGAATCACAGAATCATTTGAGTTAAAGATGGAAAAGACCCCATAGATTATCAAATTAATTTCCTTCCCAGGGCAGAATAGTTCTGAGACTTTATTGAGTCTAGATTTCATCAGTTCCCTTGGGAGATAGCTCTCCAGCATAATAAGAACACATTAGAAGCTGAACCTCTCTAGTTTGGCACTTTCTGGCCTAGCAACATCCATAGTCCAGCATGATTTTAGTGAGCTGAAGGTCCACTTATCATGGGTGTGGCTAAGTTTTCTGTGATCCCATAAAGTTTGTTTACATCTACCAAACATGGCTCGCAGTGTTTTGTGCTGTTATTTAGCATTAATTTACCCCCAATTATCTTCTAAGAGCCCAGTAGGCAGTGGAAGTGTTGGTAATGCTGCTAGATAATATTGACCTCCCACAACTAGGCAATTTCTCTGGTTCGGCACCTTTCAGGAGGTCCTGAGAGTGCCAGACTAGAGGCATTCAACCTGTACTAGAAAGTTTTACCCAATATACACCATACATCCTTTCCTTTTTCTCATCTTATCACTCTTTATTACAGATCTTATTGTGCTGTTCTAAATACAGTAATCTTCTGTAGTATTTCACATTTTACAAACATTGTATGAATATAGTGAGCAGGACTCCAATGAATTTGCATTACATTATTCCCAACCATTACTTGACTGTTGCGTGCTTAGTTCATGCAATGTTTGATGTACCACTGTTCATATCTAAAAATAGCACTTTGAACAGTTTTCAGGTCATTGGTTACCTCAAATTGGATCTGTGTGGGTACTATACTGTTGCCACATAAAATAGATACTGTCACTGAATCACTGCATGTTTTATACCTATGTTTAGTCAACCTCCTCTTTGACCTATGTCTCTTTGGATAAAGAGAAACACCCATGTGGTTCTATGGTCAGAAAATGTATGTTTATCATATATGTATAAATAAAATATTCGGTATCTTTTGTATCACATCTTTCATCAGTGGATCTCAAAGTTCTTTACAAGTGAGCCATATATTGTTACCCTCATTGTACTGATGGGGAAACCGAAGCAGAGAACAGTTAAAAAAACTTATCCAATGTCACCCCACAAGCCAGTGGTAAAACCAAGTCTCCTGACACACCATCTAGTTCCTATCCATTGGGAAATCCTTCTTTGCACCTCCATATTGGTTTTAAAGATCACCTGTGGCTAAATCGTCTCTGGGTAATTAGAGAGACAAGTTGGGCGAGGTAATATCTTTTACTGGACCGACTTTCTAGAGACAAGCTTTTGATCTACACAGAGCTCCTCTTCAGCTCTGGGGAAGGTACTAAGAGTATCACAGCTAAATTGAACAGACAGACTATGTGCTAACTACTTAGGCTAACCAAATGGACAGTTCAAGGTGAAGTAGCCAGTAACTCATTTTCCACCAACCTCTTCAAGGTCAGCGTCAGAAGCAAGCACCCTACGGACCAGGACACGCCAACCTAAAGTGGCACCAGACGCTGCCAGAACAACAGATGCAAACCCTGTGCACACATTTCCACTGCTGTAATGATCAACTCCTCCTCCCCCAGAAGATACCTTTCAAGCTCCATGGGTCTGACACATGCCTATCGCCACATGTGATGTACTTCATCCAATGCACTACATGTTCTGATAACAACGATGGGGGTTGAAACCAGACTAGCACTACATTCTGGAATGAGCATGCACAGTAAAGTGGTAAAAGATAAAAATATCCTATCGTGTGGGTGAACATTTTTTTCCACGAAGTGAGTGCTCTGGATCTGATCCCTCAGTCCTCATCCTCAAAGGAAATCTGCACAACGCTAGCAAAAGGCGAACCTGGGAGCTCAAATTCATAACTTTACTAGATGCTACAAACTATGGCCTTAATAAAGACACTGAATGTCTGACATATTGCTGCAATGTGTAACTAGCTGATCATCCTTTTTGTCCTATGACTGCAGGAGTGTAAATGGGCCACTTCTCCTAGAATGACCCCTTAGAATAAGGCTAAACTATGTATTCCATCTTGTATTTAGTTGTGACACTCAGGATACCTTTCCCAGACCTGAAGAAGAACTCTCTGCCAGGGGTGGCAAGTTTGCAGAAATTTTGGTGGTACTCAGAGTGCCCAGAGTCCAAACCTTTCCCCCATCCAAAATCCCTCTCCCACACCTGCCTAGTGCTTTGGAAGGCAGTTTGGTTAGCAGACTTCCTGCTTCTGATGTACGTTAAAAAAATTGCTATTACTTTTTGAGTTCTTGGCTAGCCGTTCTTCAAACTGTTGTATTCATATGTATATGAATCTTCCTAATCTTATTTTCATGCTTCATTTGCCAGACTTTATGCTCCTTTCTATTTTCTTCACTTGGATTTAACTTCCATTTTTTAAATGATGCTTTTTATTTCTTATTGCCTTCTTATACTTGATTGTTAAGCCATGGTGGCACTTTTTTGTTCTCTTATTTTGGTTTTTTTTTTTAAAATTTGGGACATACATTTAAGTTAAGCCTTAATTATGGCATCTTTAAAAAGTTTCCATGCAGTTTGCAGGGATTTCTCTTTTGACACAGGATACCTTTTAATTTCTGTTTACGTAACCTCTTTATTTGGTGTAGTTCACCTTTCATCCCAGCTGAGCTGGTGGCAGAGGAGCCAGCAGCTGGGAGAGCAGCCTGGACTGGCACCCAGGAGTGCAGTCCCGACCGGGGCCAGTGCAGTGGGGAGCGCAGCCCTGGCAAAGCAGGGGGCAGTGGTGCAGCAGGGAGCAGGGCCGACAGCCAGGAGGGGAGCCCAGACCTCCCCTGGTCAGGCAAACTCTGTGGTTTGGGAGTGCTCAGGTCCCGAGGGTGCTGGACTAGGGAGGTCCCATCTGCATTTCCAAGCGGTCTAGCTATATTCACCTCCTGGACCAGATCCTATGCTCCACTTAGGACTAAATCTAGAACGGCTTCTCCTCTTGTGGGTTCCAGAACCAGCTGCTCCAAGAAGCATTTAAGGTGCCAAGAAACTTTATCTCTTCATCCCGTCCCGAGGGGACATGTATCCAGTCAATATGGGGATAGTTAAAATCCCTCATTAGGATTGAGATTTTTATTTTTTATAGCCTCTCTCTAAGCTCCCTTAGCATTTCTGTCACTATCACCATCCTGGCCAGGTGGTCAGTAATATTTCCCTGTGGCTATACTCTGATTATTACATCATGGAATTGCTATCCATAGAGATGCTATGGTACAATTTGCTTCTTTTAAGATTTGTATTTAATTTGATTTCTTTCAAATACAGTGCCACTTCCCCACCAGCATTCTGTGCTTCCAATATATTTTGTACCTTGGTATTTCTGTGTCCCAATGATTATCCCCATTCCACCAGTTTTTATGGGTATGTCTACACTGACAAAGTTGAGTTAAGATACACAACTTCAGCTACATTAATTGTGTAGCTGAAGTCGAAGTAGCTTCACTCGGCTTTTGGTGCTGCCTACACCGTGGGTAGTTGAAGGAAGCACACTTCTTTCAACTTCCCTTATTCCTTGTGAAAGCAGGGTACTGGCATCTACTGGAGTGCCCCTCTCCGTTCAAATTAGCTATCTTAACTAAACCACCAATTTGAACCCTGGAAGATCGACAGCGGCAGCTTCAATCTTCCTCCATAGAGCAGACGTACCCTGTCATGCCTTGTGTCTATCAGGGATGGTCTAGTCAGTATTTGGTCCTGCCATGAAGGCGGGGGACTGGACTCGATGACCTCTCGAGGTCCCTTCCAGTCCTAGTATTCTATGATTCTATGCCTGTTTGTCAAAATCCTCCTTTAATATGAGGTACTCTAGTTCCCTCATATTATTATTTAGACTTCCAGCGTTTCTATATATGCACTTTAAAAATTTATCATTTTTTAGTTGTCTGCCATTACACAATGGCTACGTCTACACTGGCATGATTTTCCGGAAATGCTTTTAACAGAAAAGTTTTCCGTTAAAAGCATTTTTGGAAAAGCGCGTCTAGATTGGCAGGACGCTTTTCCGCAAAAGCACTTTTTGCGGAAAAGCGTCCGTGGCCAATCTAGACGCGCTTTTCTGCAAAAATCCCCCCGATCGCCATTTTCACGATCGGGGCTTTTTTGAGGAAAACAGTACTGTGCTGTCTACACTGGCCCTTTTGCGCAAAAGTCTTTCGGAAAAAGACTTTTGCCCGAACGGGAGCAGCATAGTATTTCTGGAAAAGCACTGACCATCTTACATGAGATCGTCAGTGCTTTTCCGGAAATTCAAGTGGCCAGTATAGACAGCTGGCAAGTTTTTCCGGAAAAGCAGCTGATTTTCCGGAAAAACTTGCCAGTCTGGACGCAGCCAATGTGATTGGATGGTACCCTTTTTCATTAGACTATTACTCATCAGATATTACCTGTGTTTTATCATTTTCCGTCCTTTCCTTTTTACTAGGATATAGAGAATCTTTATTAATAGACCTTCCCCTAAGGGATGTCCCTATCCAATCAGTGTTCTCCACACCTGTCAGCTTTCCCCAGCCTTAGTTTAGATTTTGCTCTACAACCTTTTTTAAGTGCCAGCAATCTGGTTCCATTTTGGATTAGGTGGAACCCATCCTTCCTGTGTAGACTCTCCTTCTCCCAAAGTTTCCCCAGTTCTTAATAAATCTGAACTCCTTCTCCCTACACCTTTGGTCTCACACATGTGTTGAGATCCTGCAGTTTTCTTCTCTCCTTCCCTATGTAATTGGTACCTACATTTGCTACAACCACAGGCTCCTTCCCACTGGATGCGATGGAGGGGACCTTCCTGCTGCCCCTACAGATATCCCTTTCCCCTAAACCTGGACTCTACAGTGTGTTATTTTGCAGGGAGGGAGGAGAAAAGGAGGAACTTTTCGCACTATTTCTCTCTATTGCAAATGGAACAAATAATTCCAGTAACCGTAGGTTTTATTTTTATTGTAACCTCTGTACAATGTTACAAGGTTCCTTGGCCCAGAGAGTGGAACACTGGGCTGAAATTAAAGAGACCTGAATTCTGTGCCTGCCTCTGCTGTGTGACCTAGGCAAGGGTCCTGATTGTGCCCAGTGCTGGTCTTACAATGGCGTTAGTGGCTCCATGGTGCTGGGCCCATGCTTAGAAGGGGCCCTGGCCTGCTCCACTTGCCCTGTGCCCTGAGACCCTGCTTACAACTTGGTCCTCTGCTGCCTCTTCATCCCAGCCACCTGCTTCTCTCTCTGCCCCAGCTGCCTGGGGCTAGATCCCAGTGCACCTCTGTCTCTGGGCAGTCTCTGCTCCCCACCACCTGTGCCACCCTGCCTGTCTCCCTGGAGCTGAGCTGACCAGTCTCAGCCATAAGTGTGGTGGCTTGGTTGGGCACCTCCAAGCAAGTGGGTTTTGAGCGACTTCAGCCTGGCTGATCGTGCCACTCCTGAGGGCTGGAGTAATTCCCCGCCCCGGGCAGGACCAGCCCTGGCTGGCTGATGGCTCAGCCACGTAGACACAGTCACCTCCCAGGTGGGCCAGTGAGTGCGGTCGGGTGGCAGGGTGTAGGGGAATGCCCTTGAGGAGAGGAGCCATGTTGGCAACACAGGGCTAGGTGGGCCACTGGGTGCCTGGCAAATGCCGTTTTATAAATAGCGCCCTTGTGCTGGTTTGGGAAGAGCAGGGTCACCCCTGCCAGGTCATGTCCCTTTGCCTCTGGCTGGCCCCTCACTCTGGGGACTGGCCTCCCCATATCATGCTCCATCACCCCATGGGGCCCACAGGTACATTTGGTGCCAGGCCCACAAAAGGCTAATCTGGTCCTGATTGTGCCTCTGTTTCCTGTCTTCCTCCTTTGTCTCCGCTATTTAGATTAGCTCTTCAAGGCAGGGCCAGTGGCTCTGTGTTTTGTGCAAGTCCTTAGGGTGACAAGGCCATAATTTCAGCTCAAGCTCTGGGCTCTATTAAAATACCAATTGATGATAATAATAATAATGAAGAAGAAGCCAGGTAGCGTCTGTTGTATGCCGGCTTCTCACTGCTCCTCCACTCCAGGGCCATCATGCTCAATGAAAGACGATCCTTGAGAAATTAGGCGGCCGGCTTTGCTTTGCCTCCGTTTTTTGCTCATTAGTTGCCGGGCTGCTGCTTATTCTGTTTGCACACACTGGAGTGCTGATTTAATGAGGACGTCTTGTGGTCCCAATTATCTCGATCTCTGGGCATGTGCTCATCATTCAGAGGCCTTGTCTATTTGTAAAACCTCGTTAGCCTGGGAAATGTGTGAGGTGATTTGTAAATGGGCCTGTTTGTGTTGAGACTGTCGGCTTTGCCACCCCTTCACCAGTGGGCACGGAAGACTTAGATGACTTGTGTTAGCTGGCACCAAGCTTTCAACTTACAGGCAAATTAAAGGCAAAGAGCAGCCTCAGTTACAGGGCAAGAAAGGGATTGCCCCTTCCATTTATTGTCATAAAAGCTTCTCTACTAAATTGTTAAATCCTGATTCTGTAATCCTACCTGTTCTGGTTGAATTTAGGGACTATCATCATCACTTTACAAATCTCTCTTCCCAATTCTCATTTAACCCAAACTGCACCTTTTCCTCCCCACGCACACTTAGTTCCCCGGGTATCAAACCCACATTTTGGAGTTCTTATTCTCTGTTGGTTGCATTGGAGTCTACATATCCAGTGTTCCCTGTAAGCTGAGTGCCTGGATGGCCACCCAGGAGTGATTCAGGTGCCACACAGCTGATTAGCAAGGTGCCCACAGTTGACAGCACGTGTATTGACTGGTGGTGCACATTCACACATGCCTCAGGGGACATAACAAAATTTATTCAGCACATGGATGGAAAAAATAGAGGGAACATTGTCTACATCATATTCCCACCCATTGATATCAATGGGGCTATCTCTGAAAGAAACAACTCACCAATGTAAAGGATCTAAAATGTGGCATTTCATGTTCTTGGTGAGGGGTTGGGTTATCTGTAGGACAGTCATTCACTGCACAAGTCTTGATGTGTGTGTTATGACAAAGCGTTTTGAATGGATGACGTTATTGTAGCAAACCCATGACAAACGGCTACGTTATCCTCTCTCTAGGAACAGCCACGTGAAAATGACACAGCAAATGCAGAACTTAAACCTTTCGCAGACGAAAAAGAATAGTGGGCCATCTTCTCCGAATGCTGCTAAACGGCTGTATCGCAACCTCTCTGAGAAGCTGAAGGGGAGTCATGCATCCTTTGATGAGGTGTATTTCAGGGCAAAGTCAGATCGACTCAGTCTCCGAAAGACTTCGGTGGTAATTACTTCATTTTTAATAGCTGTCATATTAGCTAGTTTCACCTTGACCTTGCTTCCCTGTTGTACCCCTTCCTGTAGATTCCTGTTATTGCTTTTGATTCCTCTGCTTTGTTTTAACTACTCAATCTTCAGGTGCTTACTATTCCCAGTTCTGCCTTCCTGTTTTTCCCTTTGATATTTCCATACCCTCTACTCCTTGTTTCCCACTCCCCTACTCTCCCCTGCCCCCGCCGCCTTCCCTTCTCCCCTATTTATTTTGGATCTGCACAGCCTAAACTCAAAAGTCCGGTCATCTGATGAAGTGAGCTGTGCCCACGAAAGCTCATGATCCCATCTACATGTTTTCTTAGTCTGTAAGGTGCTTCCAGACCATTTGTTATTTTTTAAGTTTGTCCAACTCCTCTACACACTCACACACACACAGAGAGAGAGAGAGAGAGAGAGAGAGAGAGAGCTGTTCTTGAGATTATGACAGAGGAATACCATTGATGAGAAGCACAAGGTAACCAGCCCTATGCTTAATAATATTTGTACTGCAGAGTAGATACTGATTTTTTAATTATTTTTTCTCCAATTTCTGGGTCCCCCTGTACCAGTACTTTATTCCATCAGGTGCTCCCTTTTAAGGAATAAGATACTGCACAACATGAAAAAATGTGGCAGAAATCCAGCCATACAGATAAGGAAATGTCTAGGGCACCTTGGACATATAAGAAATGATCATTTATTCTAGAGAAAATTAAAGGGTGATTTGATGTATAAGAACAAAACAATGGTCATACTAGGACAGACCAAAGGTCCATGTAACCTAGAATCCTGTCTTCTGAGTGTGCCAGGTGCCCCAGAGAGTGTGATCAGAACAGGAAATCATCAAGTGATCCATTCCCTGTCACCCATTCCCAAAGGCTAGAAATGCCATCCCTACCCATCCTGGCTAATAGTCATTGATGGACTTATCCTCAATGAATGTATCTAGTGCCTCTTGAACCTTGTTATAGTCTTGGCCTTCACAAAATCTTCTGGCAAGGAGTTCCACAGGTGGACTGTATGTTGTATGAAGAAATACTTCCTTTTGTTCATTTTAAACATGCTGCCTAATAATTTCATTTGGTGATCCCTAGTTTTTGTGTTATGGGAAGGAACAAATAACTTTTCCTTATTCATTTTCTCCACATCAGTCATCACTTTCCTAAACTGAAAAGTCCCAGTCTTATTAATCTCTCCTCATATGGCACCCATCCCATACCCCTCATCATTTTTGTTACCCTTTTCTGAACTTTTTCCAATGCCAATATAATTTTTTGAGATGAGGCAATCACATCTGCATACAGTATTCAAGATGTGGGTGTACCATGGATTTATACAGAGGCAATAAGATATTGTCAGTCTTATTCCCTAACTCTTTCTTAATGATTCCCAACATTCTGCTTTTTTGACTACTGCTGCACATTGAGTGGATGTTTTCAGAGAACTATTCACAATGACTCCAGGATCTCTCTCTTAAGTGGTAACAACTAATTTAGTCCCTGTCATGTTAAATGAATAGTTTTTTCCAATATGCATTAAGTTGCATTGAATTTCATCTGCCATTTTGTTATCCAGTCACCTAATTTTGTGAGATCCTTTTGCTGATGCTTTTTACTGTCTGCTTTGGACATAACTATCTCACAAAGGATGAATATAAGCAAACAACACAGGTATGCAGGGGCAAGATTAGAAAGGCAAAGGCACAAAATGAGCTAAACCTAGCTAGAGGCATAAAGAAGATGTTCTTCAAATATATCAGGAGCAAGACCAAAGACAAAGTAGGCCCATTGCTCAGTTAAGAGGGAAAAACAATAACAGGAAACTTGGAAATGGTAGAGGTGCTTAATGACTTCATTTCGGCTTTCATCAAGAAGATGGATGGTGATGGGATGCCTAACTTAGTGAATGCTAATGGGAATGGGGTAGGTTTAGAAGTTAAAATAAAAGAACAAGGTAGAAATTACTTAGAAAAGTTAGATGTCTGCAAGTCACCAAGGCCTTATGAAATGCATCCTAGAAGGAGCTGATAGAGGAGGTGTCTGATCCTTTAGCTATCTTTGAAAAATCATGGAAGTCGGGAGAGATTCCAGAAGACTAGAAAAGCCCATTTCTAAAAAGGGAAATAAGAACAACCCACAAAACTACAGACCAGTCAGTTTAACTTCTGTGCCAGGGAAGATAATGAAGCAAGTAATTAAGGAATCCATCTGCAAACATCTGGAAGATAATAAGTGATAGGTAACAGCCAGCATGGATTTGTAAAGAACAAATCATGTCAAACCAATCTGATAGCTTTCTTTCATAGGATATCAAGCCTTGTAGATAAGGGAGAAGTGGTGGATGTGGTATACCTAGATTTTAGTAAGTCATTTGACACAGTCTCACATGACCTTCTTATCAATAAACTAGGGAAATGCAACCTAAATGGGGCTACTATAAGGTGGATGCATAACTGGCTGGATAACCGTTCTCAGAGAAGCGACAAGGAGTCCTGTGGCACCTTATAGACTAATGGATGTATTGGAGCATAAGCTTTCATGGGCAAAGACCCACTTCATCAGATGCAAGAAGTGGGTCTTTGCCCACAAAAGCTTATGCTCCAATACATCTGTTAATCTATAAGGTGCCACAGGACTCCTTGTCGCTTTTGCAGATCCAGACTAGCATGGCTACCCCTCTGATACCTGACATCGTTCTCAGAGAGTAGTTATTAACAGTTCACAATCCTGCTGGAGGGGCATAACAAGTGGGGTTCCGCAGGGGTCTGTTTTGAAACCGGTTCTGTTCAATATCTTCTTCAATGATTTAGATATTGGCATAGAGAGTACAAGTATTAAGTTTGCAGATGATACCAAGCTGGGAGAGGTTGCAAGTGCTTTGGAGGATAGGGTCAAAATTCAAAATGAACTGGACAAACTAGTCTGAGGTAAACAGGATGAAGTTTAATAAGGACAAATGCAAAGTATTCCACTTAGGAAGGTACAATCAGTTTCACACATACAGAATGGGAAATGATTGTCTTGGAAGGAGTTCTGTTGAAAGCGATTTAGGGGTTATAGTGGATGAGACGTTAAACATGAGTCAACAGTGTGACACTTGCAAAAAAAGCAAACACGATTCTGGGATGCATTAACAGGAGTGTTGTGAGCAAAACATGAGAAGTCATTCTTCCATGCTACGCTAATTAAGCCTCATTTAGAATATTCTGTCCAGTTCTGGGCAGCACATTTCAAGAAAGATGTGGAGAAACTGGAGAAGGTCCAAAGAAGAGCAACAAAAGTGATTAAAGGTCTAGAAAACATAAAAACATAAGAACGGCATACTGGGTCAGACCAAAGGACCATATAGCCATGTAGCCTGTCTGCCGACAGTGGCCAATACCAGGTGCCCCAGAAAGGGTGGACCGAAGACAATGATCAAGCGATCCACTGGGAATACACTGGAAAAGACAGGTACAGGGTATCGGCGTTTCTAGCCCCTAGGGAGGAGGTACTGGGAGCACTGGGGCACTGTGTGAAATAAGCTATTTGCATATATTTTGCATGTATATGCAGCCAAACTTAAGTTGCAGCCCTCGGGATGTGCTGTGAGTATCATCGTGGCTCCTGGGGCTTCCAAAGTTGAGTAGCCCTGATCTAGACGGTGCTTGATCCTGCTGTGAGAGCAGGGGGCTGGACTCGATGGCCTCTCAAGGTCCCTTCCAGTTCTAGGATTCTATGATCTTGAGCTGTTTTTTATCATCTGCAGATTTTGCCGCCTCACTGTTTGCCCCTTTCACCAGATCATTTATGGCTCTGTCGAATGGGATTGGTTCCAGTACAGACCCTTGGGGGATAATGCTAGATACCTCTGTCCATTCAGAACAATGGCCCTTTGTTTCCTATCTTTTTAATGCGCCAACATCTCTAAACAGCAGAGGAAGGAACAGTCGAATGAGTAACAATTAAGTGCAAGGGTCACAGGCTAGGGTGGAACCCTAGATCAGAACCCAGACAGAGACCTGCACAGATCAAAGCTTTTGGCACTTTCCTCTGGTCGCAGAGCCCATCTGTAGTGCTTGAATTTACAGGCTGCCGAGCACAGCACATAGGCCCTCTTTTAACCCAGCGCATGACTAGTCCCTTTGACTTCAATGGGGCTACTGTGATACAGCCGCGTGCATGGAGTTTTGGCAAGGTAGGCTGAACAGGCAAAGGGTCTCCCCACCCTCGAACGACATGGGTTCCGTAACCAGCACGACCGTATCTATTTATTACTGGCAGGGGGTTTTGAGGCAGCTGCCCTCCTGCTGCTGGTGCTGCTGAAACAAAACAGGTTTCCTCCCCTCGGGAGACAGGAAGGACACGCCCGTGTATTTTTACTCAGAACTGCTTCCTGAGGGAGGGGAGGAGCAGCAACCTCGAGGGGCTGCCTGGGCATGTGCCAAGAAACACCCGCTCCCCCTGAAGCATGTGCCTACAGTGAATTGCTGTGCTGGAGTGCTCAGCCTCTTGCAGGACAGCTCTCCCTACGGCCCATATTGCTAATGGGAACCGTATGACTGGTCAGAAAAAAAGATGTGTGGCTTCGATTTCCTTCACACGTGCACATCTGCCTTCTAGGGAAGAACAGTTGTATGCAGCTGTACAAGCGCTGAAGCCCGAAGACAGGGCAAAACAATCACATCCCGTCGATCCAGCATGATGGGTCTTTAATGAAGTTACAGGGCTGTGTTGGAGGGCTGTGGCAGTAAAGCGGGCATAAGCAACCTGCTGTTCTCTTACCTGGCTGCAGAAGAATGGCAGCTCCTGTGTGCTGGAGGTGACAAGATGATTTTGTCCCCGTTCCTATAGTGGCACAGGGCCCTGGCTGTCTCCACAGCCCCTTCTGTCTTCCATGCACTACCAGGAGAAGTGCCTGGCTGTGGAAGAGAGAAACAGCTACGCCCAGTGCATAGGCATGGTGATAGGAGCACAGCCTCGTGCCTCAGGAATTACTTCTTTGAGGCACAGCCCCTCCTGGTGCTTCCATGGGGTCAGTGCAGCTGCCCCCTGCCCTTAACAGGAGCTGCGTGGAAATGGCACTGAGGTTTTCAAACCTTTTTTCTCATGACCCAGCTGAAGAAAATTGTTGATGCCCATGATCCAACATAATGTGACCCGAGCAAGGGTGGGCAAAAGGGGCTCCGTGGGCCGGATCCAGCCCGCCGAGCAAATTGATCCTGCCCCTGGAGGCCCTGCCGCTCCCCCGCCCCAAGGTCAATTAGGACCTGTGGGGGCGGGAGGAAGCGCATGAAGTTTCCTCCAGCCTGGAGGAGACTTCACGCGCTCTCCCCGCCCCCAAGCCCTGCTTGGCCTGGGGATGGAGGAGCACGGGAAGTCTCTTCCCACCGCCAGGGACATGGGTGCTTAGTGGGAAGGGAGGGGCTCCCCCACCCCCAGACCAATCATTATCTGTGGGTGGGAAAGCCCGAAGCAACCTGGCCCTGCCTCTTCCATTTGATGCCCTGCCCCTTCCAGTGTGGTCCAAGGCTGAGGATGAGGCTGTAGGAGGGGACTCCGGCCTTTGGTGGGGGGAGTCAAGGCTGGGGCAGGAGGGGTTTACCTTGTGTGGTTCCTGGTCAGCGGTGCAGCAGGGGTGCTAAGGCAGCTTCCTGCCTCTCCTGGCACCGCAGACCATGCTGCACCCCAGAAGTAGCCAGCAGCAGGTTTCCAGCAGGTCCAGCCAGTGGGAGTGTGCAGCTAGCGCTCAGGGCAGGAGCAGTGCACAGAGCCCTGGTTGCTCTCCTTCTCCCCCTCAGGGGCCGGACTTGCTGCCGGCTGCTTCTGGGGCTCTGCGCAGTCTGCAGTACAGGATAGGCAGGAAACTGCCTTAGCATCCTCACTGATCATCTGAACACCCTGCAGGAACAAGACCCAGTGCCTGACATTCCATC